TGGGGGGCATATGGGTTTCCAGATTCTGGAGTAACAAAGCCGGCCGTTGGTGACTGGGGGCTACCACCGGTCGCGGGTTTCCGGGGTAGGGGGCTTGGTTCTGCTGTAGATAACCGTGGACGGAAAAGCTGGCGATGTTGGAGAGCGACCGCATCAGCCTCCGTCTTGCCATGGATCAGCTCGACAAACTCTGAAGCAAGAGCATGCTGGGCCACCCGCTTAGATGGGTCTTTGTTTTGTTCCTCCATGATCTTAGCGATTTCGGGCAGCGGCAGAAAGGTGAACATTTTCAGGTAGCGCTCGACAACGTCATCCGGTGTGCGAACGAAGAACTGCCATCCATCAGTTGGGCCATACTAGTCGTTGAGGTGCTGCTTCATACCTGGTATAACTCGAAAGTAGAAGTCATGTCTTTGTCGAGCCAGACCGCGTTCCCAGCAGACTTGCCAAACTTCTCGCCAGACGGAGCTGTGAGCAAGGGAGTGGTGATACCGATAGGCCTATCGAGTTCATTTTTAAAGTCGAGTCGTTCCTCTGGTTCGGTCTGGTTCTTGCCGATCGACTTCACAGCGTCCATGCCAAAGAGAATATTCCCGTATTGGTCCGAGCCGCCAACCTGAACCTGAACACCCTTCTTAAAGAGTACCCACCAGTCCCATGCCTGCATTAGGGGGTAAGTAAACTCGGCAAAGGACATTCCATCTCCCTTGGACAGTCGGTTTTTGACCCTATGTTCGTGTGAGCGTCACCCTGGCGAAAATTGGGGTAAGAGTGAGCTTACGTATCCCGGCCCATCATAGGTCCGAGGCGGGTGTGGACGCCTAGGTCTCGAAGCAATTCTATGACAGGCATCGAATTCCACCAGGTGTTGTTGTTGACAAGGGCACGCCGCCAGTACTTGTTGATGTAGCCATGTCTTCGGCCATACACATCAATGCTGTGGCCCAGCTTCTTGAGCTGCATATGCATGCTCGCCATGTTGGCTTTGCGAACGGATGAATGAACTTGATCCCGGCTTTTCAGTCGTCCTGTTGGATCACCGAAGCGAGCGGTAGCACCACCAAGCTGCGAGATATTAGCCATGCTCAGTTATTACCCATCCATGCGTATTTGACTGACCAAAAATGTGACTGGCAAGCCCCAGACGTAGCCCCAAGCCAGAATCATAAACGGCAGCATATGACCAACGTGTAAAGACGGGGCGGTAGGATCCACGCCAGCGTACATGCCAACTCGCCTTTGCGTGAAGAGACGGTCTAACGTTTCTCGTTCTCTGCATTTATGGAAAGGGTCCAGTTAGCCAACCACCATCATGTTCAGTTTATAGATTTGTACTAATTCGAAATTACCTACCCAACAACATCGTGCAGGAGTCCCCGCTCCTCAAGGTGTTGTGCAAAGCTCTTCCTCTTTCCTGCTTCAATCTCGTCCGCAAAGTCACTCCATTCCTTTTTGGCCTCCAGCTGTTTCTGCACATACTTCCGCGAGATCCAACGTCTTTGATCCGATGCAATTTGGAAGGCTGGGCATCTAAGCATAGGGCGAATACTGCTGGAGGGCGACTGGTTCATCCGCAGCGCTTCTGCGGTCCGCGCATAGTTGCGAGCGCCGCATAATGTTTTCTGTGGTAAAGTCTTCGGTACATGAAGGCGTACCGCGCGCGGCAGAGCCCCTGTGTATGGCCTCATGATACCAGATAGCAGACAAGTCAACCAATGGCTGCTTGTGACTGACTGGCTATGGTATGGCGCGAGAATGGCAGATCGCTCAACTGGAAAATTACCTCCGATAAGAAGCCGATCAGTTGCGCCGCGACGGAGAATTGTTGACGCGGAGCTCATTGCCCCCTACCGCCATATACACCGCCTAGATTGGCAGAACCTCGCCCGAAATACCCGGAGCTAAGCGGAGTTAAGCAATACGCTCCTGCAATTAGTTATTTGGTTGTCGACTATCTAATATAAGCAACCACCTCCTAATCTCTTACCTTTCTGGCCTTTCATGCGACTCAGCTTCCAGCTTTGCCTTTGCCAACCAGGGCAATTACTTCAAATACGCTGTCATATACTGCTCCAGCGCAAGTTATCACGAGCAATATATCATAATGCACTGGCATTCCGATATATATTTTGACAGCTACTGCTATATCACCCATCACTAAAAAGCTACCGGACCCAACAAATTGTACAGCACCAGGGCTACTAAGAAGGCCTGAGGACGTCATCATGAATTGTTACATGACATGCTTATTCTCCCAAAATCGTGTAGATCCCGTCAAGCCACTATGCAGCAGAGTGTTCCCAGGAAGCTTGCCCCGGAAAGTATTAGCTGCAGGTCCAAAATGCGGGGAACCGAAATGCCGAAGAACCAAAGCGCATGGGAATCACCTCGGCCGAGTTCGGGCGAGCTCACCCGGCCAGGATATAACCTTCTGTGGTCGCTACATCCTCTCTTATGGCATAAAGAATTGTGGCACCTGGCTGCTTACTTTCCAAAGTCAACTGTGTAGTTGTCACATGTGTCTAGCCATGCCGCAACCTATGCGACAGACCCAGCGAGTCCCCCGAACATGCATCCAATGTGCTCGGAGAAAGATCAAATGCTCCAAGAAAATACCATGCGAAGAGTGCATCCGCCGCGGTGATACTGTTGCCTGCAAGCGCGAGATTGTCAGGGTCCATGGCAAGGTCACCGTGTGAGCCCACCGCATTCTTCTCTGTCTCAGGCCCATTTGATGCATCGTCCAGTAAACTGATATTATGCAAAACATAGTGCAGTAGACGAGGAGACACGAATCCATGATTCAGACGCAGAATCGAACCTTGTGCGAGAGAACATCAGTCTCAAAACACGCATCAGGCAGCTAGAATCTGTACTCGCTCGGCCTGAAACACTGAAACTTGAGGCGGATATCTTCCGGCTGTCCCCTGCTGCAGAGAATTCCCAATCTTCGGACAAGATCCTGAACGATTTCCAGAGTCTCCCGTTTGGACTTTTGGTGGAAGCGTCGCAAGTATCCCGGAGCGCAATTCATCCAAGAGATGACCACTTATTACTCGTATTACCAGATCGGCATTGGAGCGAAACCATTGTGCGATTCTCTCTAGATCATTTCGGATGGGTTCATTGTGCTCTAGATACTTCCGGATTCATGGTAGACCACTCTTCGTTCTGGGACCACCTAAGCCACAGCAGGTTAGACAGCCCAAGGAACCATGCCTGGATTGCAGTGTATCTTAGTGTGTTGGCCGTAAGTCCCCGTCAGGCTAAAGGAAGCCCAAGGCTCATTTTCTGATAGATAGGAGTGTATTTTATGGGAGAGGACAATATTTGCAAGGTCCGCTTTCTCCAAGAATCGCTCCCTTCTTACAGGCCATCGCTCCTAAGCAGAGTACCCACGGAACTATGCCGTACCTGGTGCGAAGCCGCTCTGAAGGAGCTCAGCTATGCCAACTACTTGAGCAAGCCCAGTATTTCCACTGTACAGACACTGGTGATTCTGAACATCGTGCATAAGAATCTTGGCGAGTCATGTCGCGAATATACTCTACACGGTCTTGCGGTTAATATAGCCCGCTTGATTGGAATTGATCGTCTCGGAGGACGTCACGAGAGACAAAATACCTCTCCTGTAAAAGACACAGGGCTCATTCGGAAAGATGAAAACGTTTACCGCAGGCTTTGGTGGACCTTGGTGATCTGTGACTGGTACGTCGTCTGCTCATTTTGTGCTGGATTTTACTGAGCCAAGCTTAGGATGACTGTATGGTCACGTCCAATTTCCATACACCCAGACTCCTTCACAACCGTGCTAGAAACAGAAGATCACAAGGAAACCTCTCCCACTTTATCTGGCGGTGAGAAAGTTCCATCTCCGTATGAGTACCATAAAGCAATGGCCCAGCTCGCCGCCACCATGCAGAACCACGCCAGATCCATTAAAGAATGGACGACAGCAACTGTTCAAGCCTCCTTTGAGGAGCTTGACGCTGTAGCTGCTTCTTTTCCACATCACCTCGCTTACCCTGGAACCGATGAACCCATGCTTCAGATTGAACATGGGTTTGAATGGATCTATGTCCAACGCTATCTCATCTTCAATTGCTTAGACTGCTGGCACATAAACCTGTGCGTTGCTTTGATCCCGCAATTAATCAGCAGCCCCTCTAGTACAGAAGATGATGTGCTGCAGAGCGGCATTTCATGCGCGAAAGCCATATTGTCGCGGCGATACCATGATCCATGTCCCCATTTCCATAAGTTCTGGGCAACGACATGCTCCACTGTCACGGCTGCTATATTTCTGGCTCTGGATCTAATATGTTTTCGCCAGCACCGATCATCTGCTGAAGTGGCTGAAGAAAAGGCATTGATCCTATTCGGCATCTACCTCCTGGAGCGAACATGCACAGATACCCGACACGACGCCTTAGTTGTCCTGCGCCGCCTTGTTGAGCTATCTGACGTATTACGTCCGAGACAAGTTATCGACCAAAGGGTATTTGTCCGGCTGATGAAGCTTGTCGCTTCTCCCAAACTATGGGCTTCATTTCCCGATACAGAGGTCACGTTGAGGTTTCTTTTTACGGACCCGTCGTCGACCGGAGAGGCGAGCAAGCCGGCATTAGACAATGATGAGCAGCTGCACAGCGCGGATCCTAGTCCCGCTACGTATGGAGATATACTACCGAACACACTGAGTCGATTTGCGACAATGGCCGGTGAAGCAGGGGACGAGTTTCCACTCTCAGATGATCTCTTTTCGTCTGAGCTCATTGACATGTCACTCCCTTGGTTGGACCCTGGTTCTCTGATGGCGTTTCCAAATGAGGTCTCCCTCTAAGCGAGAGAAATTTCTATGTGTGAGATATCCTTTGCAGTGACCGATTTATATGAGTGAATATTCCATGTACTGAATCCTCTCTTAAACGTCACATCACAGACCTACATCGCTTTAGAAGTACCATCAAATCCTAAAAGAAAAACAAAACACATTCCAATCAAAACTCCGCAGTCCTCCCATCAACCGCATATTTCATCGTAACCCTCCTAATCCACCACCCAAAGACAAAAACCGGAATCCCCAGCGCAGCCACAACACCCGCAATAATCGCACAAATATCAAAAGCACCCTGAAATCCCTGCTCGGTGATAAACTTCGTAACCCCAAACGAAATCCCAAACGAGATAAATCCACGGATGGCGCAAATAAGAACGAGGATCGGCGCTGCCCGCTCCGCATAACTGTCCAGAGAATAAGTATACCCATTGAGAATAATTCCAATATAGGCAAAATAGATCCCGCTGAAGGTAGTGGTGATTGCCCACGGCGACCATTCCGTCGGATGAGATGCAGCACGGCCAAAGATGACGCACGAGATAAGCAAGACGATAATAGGCAGCAGCATAGGGATGAGTCGAATCTCAGACTCAACGGTGCCGTTCTCTCGACGCCTTGCGACCAATTTGTATAGCTGATCGCCGCCGTAGCCGAGCACGGGAACCATTATCATTGCGACCACGATTTGTCCACCCTGAACTAGGCCTAGGCTTGTGGTTGGGTAGTTGTATGGAGGGGCGCCGAGGACAGAGGCGTACTCTGTCACTCCGATAACGTAGATTCCGAGGGAGACGCTGTTCATGAGGACAACCCAGAGGATGTTGGGGAAGAGGATGCATTGGCCCATTTGCTTGTAGCATGTTAGGGCTTCTTTCCAGTTTGCGGGTGGGTGCATGATGGCTAGAGTATGTTTCCAGGTGCGTGCTTTGTAGTTGGTGAAGTCTAGTGGAACGCGGTTCTTGGTGGTTGCGTGAACGATGACTTGTTCTTCGCCGTCGTGGTGGACGTGCACTTCTCCTTCGAAGGCATCGGTGGGTCGGTCGTAGCGGGATTCAGGGACGAGGGTGAATGCGCTGATAAAGACCAGGCCGCTGGCGATGGAGAATACCCCGTACCACCATCTCCAGCCGAGGCTGCTTACTAGGTAGGATGTCGCGATGGTAAGGGCGGCTGTGCCGATGGATTGGATCGCGCTGAACCAGGCGAGGCGGCTGCTGCGTTCGTGGACGAAGTGGATTTCCTGGATAATTTGGTTATGATTTCCAGTTTGTGGAGTGTAGGGTATAAAGAATTAGAAATGGGGATGTACCTGGATAATAAGCGGACATAAAGCCTCTGACTGGCCTGCTGCCAGTGACAACACATCTCTGCCAGCTATATGCGATGAAAGACTCGTGCTCGCAGCGCACCAGATTGATCCCACGGTTAGGACCAATGCAGAGGCTAGGAATACTGGGCGTCTGCCGATTGCCATGGCGAGTGGCATAGCGATGACATTACCAATCCCCATGAAGAGGGTTGGGTAGGTCATGAGATCGTCGGTGTGGGGGTTGTAGTCGTAGTAGGATTGCATTAAGGTGACGAAGGGCCCCATTCCGGAGGTCAGCAGGACGCCCAGGACGGAGACTGATATGATTGTGTTAGATGGTGTCTTGGTTTGTGGGAGAGATGAGGAACGGAGGCGTACACAATCCCAGCACGAACGTGATTACCCATTTTTGCCATTGAGGGTAGTTCAAGGGGTCTGTTCCACTCTTCGTCAGTTATGTGATACTTTCGAACAAATTATGAAGGAAATCAAACCTCTTGGATCTGGAGACGGTGTCGGAATCAACACTATTTCCCCATCCTCGACTAGTTTCACTGTGCCGGTTGGGTTACTGCCTTTGCCATGACGCTTTAGGGATTTATCCATAGCAAGTTCATGGTGCGTTGCGTCGATGTCCTTGTCATCCATATTGCTATGTGCAGACATTTGCCTTGTACGTGTAGGAGCTGTGTCCTACTACAATTTATCAATAGAAGACCAGGGAGAAATGGACTAAGCACTGCTTCCTCCCGGCCTTCATATGCTGACCATCCTGACGCTATCCACTACCCCGTGGGGTAGAACTTGTCTGCGTAATGGAGTCTAGCTCATTAGCCACATCGTGTCCGAGCGTGGAGTTGGCGTGAAAACGTGGAGCCGAAAGTATGTTTTGATGGAAGATGATGGTGAAGAAGTGAGGGAACCAGCGAGATGGGAGAATCTCGCCCGAGCTCACCCGGGCGGAGGTGCGCGTGCCGCACGGCGGCAATGGACGATGTTGCCGTAACCGAATTGCGAATACTGATCACACTGATAGCTCCCAGGTAGGTGTTCGGTCCAATTGACGGGTTGGATATGGGTTGTTCAATGCCGTGGAGAGATTTGTGTGGTGCTACAGCTGGGTGTATATGCAGTGTTCTGCATAGTAGACACTTGTCTCGCATCAGATGGCTTACGATATCATCATAGTGCAGTCATAACAAAAGGAATGAAATTGTAAGATAACTAATACTACAAGCTACTAGTATGGCTTCACACCTGCCAACTGCAACAATCTGTCACTTCTCACCGGCTTGGTAAGTGGTTCGTCCCTCTCCAACGGATCCACTACTTCCTCCCCATCCACCATCACCATCGCCTTCCCATGTGTATACAAGTTCGTATGCGGCCAGTGTGTAGTTGTCTCATATTTTTCAAATAAGTCCTTCTTCTTCTCCCGATCCTCCTCGCTCATCCATGCCGCTGGCGTATACGTAGCATAGACAATAGTCCGCACCAGATCCGAGGTCCCGAACTGAGCCCAGTGCATCTGTCTCGAGTCCCAGAGAATCAAATCGCCTGGTTCAGCGCAGACCTTGATCAATTCACATCCACGCTCGCGGTACCAGTCCAAATCCTTGTCAGAGAAGGGGTGGAAATCCTTATGTTTAGCGGTGCGCCAGGGGGTGGGACCAGTGACGGGGTTCTCTTCGAAGAATTGGTCAAAGAGCGCTGCAGAACCCTTCATTACGATGAGTCCACCGTCGTCGGGGCCCGCGTTGGAGAGGTTGACGATGCCCTGGACACAGACCAGACCTTTGCGCTCAGGCGCTTGGTCGCAGTGTGGCCAGGGCTGGGAGTCGTAGGTGCCTACGATGGATTGAGGAAGAGTAATGTTCACCGTGTCGAAGGAGACGACAAGCTCGTCTGTTCCCCAAAGTTTAGCGAAGGGAGCAATCACGCCAGGCTCACTGGAGTCATTCTTTAGCCAGATTGTTCCCTATAAAGAGGAAGGAGAGAGAGGCGACTTACCATCGGACATCCCAGACATACTTCTCGTGTGCAGCCGAGAAGTGCAGGTACATGCCACCCTTCCAGCTCTGTGGGAGATTTTCCTTCTTCCAGGTGGACTTGTCGTTGCGGTCAAAGCCAAGGCCGAATGACTCAAGCCAGGTCAGGGCTTCGCTCTGGTATTCGCTAGCGCGTTCTTTGCTCATGACGCCTTTGATGACAGCGTAACCGTCACGAAAGAAGTCATCACGGAAGTCACCATAATGAGGCTGCTGTGTCTGGATGGACTGAAGCTTTCCCGGGGCAGGGGATGGAATGGGCTCCGGAGAGTCGACACGAGAGGGTGCCATGTTTAGAGCTCTTTAACTCGCAATTTGTTGACTTTGAGATATGAAGTATAGAATCCTCGGAAGGAAGAAAGAAACGGTACTTTGAGAATTATTAGTTTCGGGTGACGTCGAGGGCTTCGGCGGCCAGAGGAACTTTTGCGCGCTTTTATCCTCCAACTGGGTCTCTAGCCAGGTTAATTGACCCGAACTGATCCCTTACACACGGCCGAGCCCATCCTCATCCGAGATACAAAACGCCACTCCCATGACCGAGTCACTGTAGCCGAACCCAGGAATTGCCGAATGGTCAGCAGGTTCGAAACGAGCATACAAACTCGCCCGAGCTCGGCCGTGCTGGGGTATAGCCTCAACAGGCGACCCGACAATGCGCCATGTCCACAAGCCGACTATCAGAGAGAAAAGCAAACGCTGACATTGATTTGTAACTCCACGCTTAGTACTCAGTGAGAGACACGTATTGGTGGGCGCGTGGTACTGTTCATAAGGAGCTCGGAAACTCTGCCATTGTCGTCTACACTGCGATCAATACTTTTCAATATGCCTTCTCCGGTACCTGTTGCGACTCGTCCAATTGACAAGCCCACTGTGGGCAGAAACAATTATCAGCCATTTGGGTTTCATGAAGAAGTCCTACCTAAAGGCTGGAACAAAGAAGGCTCACGTCCCTTGCCATGCGACATCCATGCGTCCCACGACGTGGGTATCCAGGTTCGCGATGGAAGCACATTATATTGCGACATCTATCGTCCTACAGACACCACCAAGCCTGTGCCCGCCATCTTAGCATGGAGCCCCTTTGGGAAGAAATTCAATGGAATTAGCATGTTGAAGTTTCTCCCCTGGGGCCTAGGGATCCCTCAAGGCGTACTCAGCGGTCTGGAGAAATTCGAAGGCCCGGATCCAGCAGAGTTTGTGCCTCGCGGCTTCGCCATCATCAACGTAGATGCCCGTGGGTCTGGCGATTCAGACGGCACAGTGGGCATCATGGGCACTCAGGAAGCCGAGGATGGCTACGACGTGATTGAGGCTGTGGCTAAGATGCCCTGGTGCAATGGAAACGTTGGACTGGCAGGAAACTCACATTTGGCCATCGTTCAGTGGTTCATCGCTGCGTTGCAGCCGCCATCATTAAAGGCTATTGCTCCTTGGGAGGCATGTGGTGACCTCTATCGAGAGCAATTTGTACGAGGTGGCGTCTTCGATGCTGGCTTGTTTGATTTCATCATCGATCATAACATCCAGGGTCACGGGGGTGTGGAAGACTTTCACGAGATGTATCGCCGATATCCATATGCGAACAGCGCATACTGGAAAGATAAACGACCGGACCTCAGCCAAATCAGCATACCCGCCTATATCACTGCGTCGCACACCAGCTTCGTGCACACGATGGGATCACTGCGCGGATGGCTTGAGACTCAGTCGTCCGATAAATGGCTGCGACTTTGTCCATGGCAAGAATGGTACGATATCTGGAATTGCAAGGAATCTGCTTCTGAGCTCGCGTCCTTTTTCGATCGCTATCTGAATGGCACCGACAATGGATGGGAAAAAACACCTAGGGTACGGACTACCATGTTGCGATTCAATCAAGATCCGCTATACAACATCGCAGAGGAGGACTACCCGATTCCACGCACCGAGTATCGCAAGATGTACTTTCACCCAGAAGGCCATCTCAGCTACGACGCTCCCAGCACGGCTTCATCGGTGTCATACAACTCAGAGAAATACCAAGACTGTGCGAGCTTCACCCACACTTTCACCAGCCGAACGAGGTTAGCGGGTATTCCCAAAGCAGTGGTGTACATGTCGTGTCCAGACTTCCATGACCTCGACGTGTATGTTCTGATCAGAAAGCTTGACGCGCAAGGAAAGGCTCTGCTCAATCTCAACATTCCGTGGTCATCAATAGCAAAATTTGGCGTCAGCCCAGATAGTGTTGACAGCATCTCTCCTCGGGAGAAGAACAATCTCATGTTCCATGTTGGGTCCTTGGGCATCTTGCGTGCCTCACGCCGAGCCATTGATCCGACCAAGTCAATTCATGAGAACTTCCCCTTTCACCCACATGACCGCGACGAGTACATCACTCCTGGAGACATTGTGAAGCTCGAGATCGGCATATGGGCGATGGGGGTGGAGTATGAGGCAGGGGAAAGCGTACGCGTCGAAGTGCATGGAAACAGTCCATTGCTACGTGGAGAGTTCAAAGAAGATGGGGAATTCCAGGAACTGGCATCACATGGAACACACGTGCTTCATTTGGGGGGTGAATATTCTTCGCATATCGTTCTGCCATTCGTATGACCGGGCATGAGGCGTTAACTACAGCAACATAGACATATAAGCTAGCTTGCAGATAACCAGCTACTATCACGCATATATTGTTATGAAGTCTTTCTGAATTGGTTGTTTCCTAACTAAAAAAACATGGCCTGGGACGATACAGTAGAGCCCAATCATAGGCGCCATCAGCACCAGTAAGGGTCGTAAAGCACCGCCGCTCCTCCAGGTATAACACCACCAAGTAATGTGTGAATCAGAGATGCCTTAATCGCGTCCGTTAAGTAACAAGGTTGGTGTGCCGAACGCCTATTTCATCCCACTCTCAACCAGAACCCATCAGCCCTTTAGCCCCGAAAGGAGAGCCAGAAGGGCTCCAGGAAGAGAGATGGGTTCATATAGAACACACTAGGCTTTCATCATCTGCAGTATGACGTTAGTAAAAGGGAAAATGGGAGCCAAAAGTCAAAGGTAGCACTCACTTTTACAAAACTTGGAAGGATGAAGAGAGAAGAAATGACGGCGCCGGAAATTTCGCTTTTAATTGGCAGTGTGGAGGGCGCTAGACCTGTCATAGAAGGCGGCGTACCATATTTTGCCCAGGATCTCCGCCCGGCGGTGCCTGGCAATTTCCCAATTGCCCGATTAGTTACTCGGCCATTTGAAGGCATCGTGCCATTGTATCCCCGCCCCGGGACAATTGGAAGATTTGTGACTGTCCTCTTCTGCGTCCTTTTTGATTTTCGGGCTGGTTTGCGCAGCAAGATGTATCTCGCCAGGGCGGTCCGATGCCCCCCTCACCTCCGCGCGACCTACGTGGAGATCTCCAACTACTTCCGCGGCAGGCAACTTGGTCGCCTTTCAGCATTGCAAGCTCACAGCACCCCCGTACGATCATTCCATGAATTCAGTGAAAAGCACCGCTCCAATGTAACCTCGTCGGAGTTTCTAGATAAGTTTAAGCAGTCGAGTTCGTTACCCTGCCGACCAATGCACACCCTCCAGCATTTCCAGCTCATACAAGCAAGTTGCAATCGGGAAATGCTAACATCCCTTCTTCAAAGTGGAATTCCCCCAAACGCCCTTGGACATCGACACTCTGTACTCTCATGATCACGAAGGTCAATCCGTACTCCTCCATGGCTACCTGGACAAGCGCGATGACATGGGGAAAGAGCTCTCGTTTGCCCGCTTCTACGATCACACAATGGGTCGTACCATACAGCTTCTCTCAAACTCACAAAGCAACACCCTGCCTCAGCTGAAGAAGATTAGTCGGGGTAGTCCAGTGGTTGTTCAAGGGACAGTTAAGCGGAGGGTTACAAAGACTGCCGAAGAGGAGCGCAACGATTACTTGGAGATTGCGCTTGAATCTATTCAACCATTAAACGAATTTCCCCGTGAGATTGTGCTCTTCGGAAAGAACATCGTTCACCCCCCTAAGCATCGCCACCTTCAACTGAGAAGCGATAAAGAGCTGCGCGATGCTCTCCGGTTCCGTGCGCAAGCGCGCAATGTCTGCCGGGAGACGCTGGAACAGCTGAAGCCAGCCTTTGTTGAGATAGAGACACCTTTGCTGTTCAAGTCGACCCCGGAGGGTGCTCGTGAGTTCATCGTGCCGACCAGGAAGAAGGGCAAGGCCTACGCTCTTCCTCAGAGTCCGCAGCAATACAAGCAGATTCTCATGGCTAGTGGAATCCCGAGATACTTCCAGTTCGCGCGCTGCTTCCGTGACGAAGACCTCCGCGCCGATAGACAGCCGGAGTTTACTCAGGTATGGTCCCAATGACTCCACACAAGTCACCTGCTGACTGTAAACCCTAGCTGGATCTGGAAATGGCATTCGCTGCTGGACACGATGTCATGGCCGTTGTTGAGGAACTTATCCGGGGCCTGTGGGGGAACATGATGCCTGAACCAGTCCCTTCAGGCCCCTTCCGTCGCATGACCTACCAGGAGGCAATGACTCGGTATGGTTCGGACAAGCCGGATACCCGACACGGAATGGAAATCCATCGTGTCGAGCACCTCCTGCCTGCCGACCTTGTGTCGAAGATCACTCCTCTGACCGATCCTATCGTTGAAGCATTCAAGATGGATACCGTCGAGCAGCTCCCGTCAGCAACTCGCGAATTTGTTTCACGTTTCTTCGACTCGACCGAGGGCGAGCCTTTCAACAAGAACCCCGATGGTGCACCAGGAATCTTCATCTACGACGAAGGACAACCCCTAAAGGGCCTGGGACCTCTCGGATTCGAAGCAGCCGAGAAGGTCCAAGAGATGCTTGATCTCAGTCATGGCGATCTGCTCATTCTTCAAGCTCGCCCACAGGCCCCCTTTGCAGGCGGCGCAACCCAACTTGGCAGCATCCGTCGCGCCATGGCCGCCGCCTCCATCGCCGAGGATCTCAGAGAAGCGCCCCCTGGCTTCGAATTCCTCTGGATAGTTGACTTCCCTCTTTTCAGCCCCACGGATGCCTCCGAACCCGGGCAAGGCGGTACTGCCGGCCTCTCCGCCACCCACCACCCCTTTACGGCCCCGAAGACCTCCTCGGACGTCGACCTACTTAGCAAGGACCCCACTAAAGCCCTCGCAGACCACTACGACCTCGTCGTCAATGGCGTCGAACTCGGCGGCGGCAGTCGCCGTATCCATTGCGCCTTGACCCAGAACTACATCTTCAAGGAAATCCTCAAGATGCCGAAGGAGCGCATCGACGAGTTTCAGCATCTTCTTAATGCCTTGTGGGCTGGATGTCCCCCGCATGCCGGGTTCGCGCTCGGGTTCGATCGGCTCATCACTGTCATGTTGGGCAAGGAGTCGGTTAGGGATGTCATTGCATTCCCGAAGATCGGAAAGAAGGGTGAGGATGCGATGGTGAAGGCGCCTGGTAAGATTAGTGAGGAGGTGGCGAGGTTGTATAATATCAAGTTGAAGTGATGTTGTGGTAATGTATCGGGTGTATATATGTATTTTATGGATTACTCTTGTATGATAGATAGATTAACGGTTCTTCACTCTGTATCTGTTATGTTTCTAGAATCCAGAGGTCTCAATTGGTGATCCCCCGGGCTGACATACAACAGCAAATGTGTCTTTCAGATGAAGACAGGGGTGATGTAAAATGATGAGGAGAAAAGCCGAGCATAAACATATGGAGTTCGGGAAAAAATAATAATTCAAAGTAGTTGTTGCTGTTATACAAAACGCCGACCAAACGGGAATCTAATACATCCATGAAATATATAAAAATCAATGGTGAGTGATAGGGAGTTCGCCATAGACTCCCTCATTTTCTATATTTTTTTTTCTTTCTCATTCATTTGATTTCGGTCGAAACAGAAAGGCGGTCATACCGCACGAGTCGCCACTGACTTGGAGCGCGAGGCAGCCATAGCAGCACCAGTACCTTCCTCTTCCTCGTCAACATACACATACTCATCCTCTAGCTCATCCGGCTGTCCGAAAATCTGACGCCATACACCATCCCAAAGGCCCTTCTTGGTGACGAGACCACCCACCAGCAGAACCGGAAGCTGCCAGATACTGGCCCAGAAGAGACCTCTTGCCGTTCCGTTGGCACCCTGGTGCTTCCAGAAATGGTACGCCTCCTTCACCAACCACGCATTGGCGACCGAACTGCTAACCAAGAATCCGTGGCCGACGACTCCAACCCACCAGAGGCCAATGGAGATAGGGAACATGAGGACGGAATAGCGCAGCGCAACGCGGGCATTCATGGCGGGGTTCTTCCAGCAGAGCATCTTGTAGCCGGCCCGCTTGTACTCCTCGCGGATGGTATGAGACAAGGCGTTGAAGTGGGGGAATTGCCAGGCAAACAGGATACCGCCCAGCAGCCAACCACCAATGCTGTCTTGGCTGAAGAGCATGTCGCGCCAGGTATCGTGGCCCGTGGTAGCGGTTTGGCCGGCAGCAGCGACCCAGCCCATCAATGGAGGAATACCGCCTACAATGGCGCCGACCCATGTGTTGATGACGTGAATACGCTTGAGCGGTGTGTATATGAAGCCGTATAGGATGATGTTGCTCGCTGAGAGGGCCGCGACGGTGGGGTTGGTGCCGAAGTAGAGCATGCCTACACCGGTGAGGGCTGTCGCGAGAGCGAAGAGTGCGGCAGCACGGCGAGAAAGGAGGCCGCGAACGAGAGGCCGGTTGCGGGTGCGCGACATGAGAGCATCGTACTTCGGCTCCAGAAACATGTTGATGGTGTTGGCGCTGCAGCTAGAGAGGAAGGTGCCCGCCGTCAGGTAGAGGAAGGTTAGGGTTGAGGTGGAGAGGGTCGGTAACGGGGTCATGGACGGGTCAAGCGTGAGGAGAGACGAGATCGGATACAGGCCATAGGCGGAGGTTGTGCTCAGCACGATGAGGACGGAGAGACGAGGCTTGCAGAGGGCGAGGAAAGCCGCCATCTTACGGCGGAGGGAAGAGGTGGGCTGAGAGGAAGAGAATGCTGATAGCTGTGCGGAGGCATCGGGGGGAATGACATGTTCAGGATCGGCGGTTTGGGCATTCGCTTCTTCCTTTAAACGCTTCCTCCGGCGATGAGGGAGCTCTGGTTGTGTGGATTCGGGGGCAGACGTAGAGGCATTGACGCGGTGGTCTGATGGGAGAGTGGAGGATGTCGCGCTGGAAACATTGCTACCGGAAAGCGAAGAGACAATGTCATTCTTGCTCGGAGTGCCGTCTTCTGCGCGATTGCCCGAAAAATAAGTCTTATTCAGAGCCGACTGGGCCGAATGGCCGTCTGCAATGCCCGAGTGGGATCGAAAGGACGAGGTGAAGGTGCGGAGAGCGGCGGGGAAGGTTCGAGGTGTCCGATTTCGATGTAGAAGACATTGAGAGCATATCCTGCTAGGATCGCCTGGCGACCCTATCCTCCGCAACGAGGAGCGAAGGAGACTCATGGCGGAGTCCTGCTGTGGTTCTGGTCGACCAAGAATCCGTATCCAAGCAGCGGAAGTTGAAGCTCAAGCCGCAAGACGAAGAAAAACTGCGGTGGGCGGGAGCGACCAACCACGCAATTCCGGAGATGCGTTGGTTCTTTGTTGGTCTTTTTTTGTTGTCCTTGCGTCGTCCGCTTCTTATCTACTCAACCACCTCCCCGCTGACCTCGCCGGACCTCTTGCTTCAATCCCACGGTCCCTATCTCCAGTCAACATGGACGCGATCCAGAAAACCATCGTCGATCCCCTCCAACCTCTCCTCCGCCCCGTCGTTTCGGCCCTCCCCGAACCGGTTCACGATGCGATCATTTCGCTGATCGGCTCCTCCTGCCACAACAGCCTCGTGGTCGATCTTGACGTGAGCAAGGATCCCGCCTGCACCTCCCTTGCAATTTCGAAGGCTCTCGGTATTGCCATCGTCGGAGCTAGCGGCATCGTCAAGGTGCCCCAGATCCTCAAGCTCATCAGCTCCCGCTCATCTGCCGGTGTTTCTTTCGTTTCGTACGCCCTCGAGACCGCCAGTCTTCTGATTACGCTTTCGTACAGCGTGCGCAACCAGTTCCCCTTCAGCACCTTTGGCGAGACGGCTTTGATTGCGGTACAAGATGTGGTAGTGGGTGTGCTGGTGTTGACATTTGCGGGCCGGTCTGCCGCTGCGGCGGCGTTCATTGCCGTCGTGGCAGCCAGCGTGTATGCACTGCTCTTTGATCAGACTTTGGTGGATGCGCAGACAATGTCGATGTTGCAGGCCGGAGCTGGAGCTCTGGGTGTGGCGAGCAAGGCGCCTCAAATCTATACCATCTGGCGTGAAGGTGGCACTGGCCAGCTGAGTGCTTTTGCGGTAGGTGCACCTTATCACTTGTCGCTAATCGTTTACTAACGCATGGTCAGGTCTTCAACTACCTCGCCGGTTCCCTCTCTCGCATCTTCACCACCCTCCAGGAGGTCGACGACAAGCTGATTCTGTACGGCTTCATCGCCGGGTTCACTCTCAACCTCATCCTGGCCGGCCAGATGCTGTACTATTGGAACAGCCCGGCTAAGTCCCAGAAGAAGGAGAAGCCCGTTGCAGCACCTACTCCTGTGAAGGCGCCAGTCACCGCTACCAGCTCGGGTGTGTCGCCCAAGCCTTCAGGCAAGACGCCCACTACTCGACGCCGGGGCTAGTCACCTTTTTGGTTACCTTGCACCAATTCTCTTATAGAAATCTTTAATCATTTTTCCCCTGCTACGAGCATTGCAACGTATTAGACATCACCGCTGTCCCGGCACAGCCCCCGTAGTCATAAACCTCAAAATCTCATCCAATGGCACCACCGGCGCAACCACCTTAGCCCCCGCACCAGCATTAGCCCCAGACCCAGTATTCGCAGCAGCAATATCAAACTCCAACCCAGTTCCAGCCCCAGACCTCCTCCTCACCCCAACGACCTCCATCTCATCCGCCTCGCCCTCACCCTCTTCACTATCACTCTCATCCTCATCGTCATCCTCCAACACTCTGCTCAACCCCGTAACCACCTTCTCAATCCCCATCTCCCGCTCCTCCAACGTATAGTTCCCACCCCAATTCCTCTTCCTGGCCTCCTCATTCGCCGCGACAGGCGCCCAATCCCACAATTCAGCAATCGCATCATCACTCAGCAACCCCTGTCCACTGTTGGTCTGGTATTGTCCCAGAGCTCCAGCCCCAGTATCAGAAGAAGTAGTCGGCGCCCCGGCGCGACGGCCACGCGCTACCCAGTCCTCAACGCGGGGGTCTAGTTTCGTGCGCAGAACTTGCTCCAGAGCGACATTGTTTGCGGGGACGCGCGATGGGTAGGATGCGTCGGGGTAGGCGACGATGTTGGATAGGAGGTCGCGATTATCGGAGAGATGGTCGGAGATGGTGAGGAGGTTGTTGGAAATGATGGTTGCTTGGGATTGCAGGGATGTCCTGTTCATAGCATTGTATTAGTGGACTTGATCTAGCCGGGTTGTATAGAGGCAGCATCGGGGTGGAGTGTATACCATGAGGGGAGAGGATCGCTTTGATTGAGACTGGTTATGAGGGAGGCAAGGGAATGGGTGAGTTGGATGAGTCGTTGGCGGGATTGTTCGAGGGTTTTGATTTGGTCTGGATTGAGAGAGGTCATTTTTTCGTGTGTGAGAAGGGAAGAGGTCGATTGGTGAGGTGTGGTGGTGATATTGAGGGTTAAATTGATTGGAGATGGAAGATCGGCGACAAACAATCAAGCAGGTGGGCATTGAGCTACCTGATTGGAATGGCGGAGTTGTCCGCGGAGTATGTTGATGCCTGAGGTGTCAGGAGTTTTGGTGTGTTTACTCGATCTATGGTTCTACATTGGAACCTTGAATGTTCAGGTTCCTCGCCAGACAGGACCCCCCAACAGCTCGAATTACCACCTGTTTAATTTCTTTTCAAATATTCAATTTGGTGATCAAGATGGATTCTGATTAGGCGTTTCAATATTTTCGATCTACGTTGATGATGTCACGCTTAAACAGGATAGGTATATACATTAGGTGGAATCATCTCCAGCCTCGTTACTTGCCAACTCTCTCGGACCTATCTTCTCTCCTTCCTGGTATTATATAATTTGAGATGAAAGGCATACGAAATTTCAGTGCCATGAACAGCCCCTTCACTACGCAATCTCCGTTCATCGATTATATACATATCTGACGCTACCATGTTCCTGTCTACAACTGCCCATTTTGACTAATCCTTCACCTTCTACCGTAACTCGAATCTCCAATGAGTCATTCCCATAGAATGGTACGCCTTCAATGGACCACCGACCTCAACAATTCTGACCGCCAGTCAAAGGCATTCCTTGCGGCTCAAAGTCTTGAAGTCCAGAATCCACACTGTTATCCGGGAAAATCCCAATAGAAGCAAACCCGAAAGTGGCATGGTTGGCTTGGTCATACATCTGGACGGACAGCACATTGCCCTCATTCCACTTTGTACCTGCAAAACACTCAACCTGGCTTTCGATTTGGCCAAAGGCGTCGGCTCCATTGAAAGTGATATCGCCCGGGTCAGCGCTAGAGGCATCGGAATCAAATCGACCCTCCATCAAATGCTCGTCAAGCCGTTCATGCTTGTAAAACTCGTCGCGTTTCTCCTGGGTTGCGTGATGGGTGGGATGACCCGCGTACGAGATGGTAAAATGCACACCACCTTCGCCGGTATCACGAGAGGTGAGCTCCATTGGGCCATATTTGTGGTGGTTAAATCGGAACATTGGCGCAAAGGGATGGACACTGGAGTCACGGCGGGCCAGCTTATGCGAATCGGGTGCATACCCAACAAAGTCTACCTCGTCCGTCGACAGGCTGCGTAGAGCATTATGAACGAAGTGGTTGTGGGCCTTTTGAGAAGTCATATTTCTCGCGGGCAGGCTGTCCAGATCCCGCGAAAAGGTTTGCAGGTCAATCTGTTCGAGACCAGACTGCAGCCAGGCGTTTGCGGCAACCCCCAAGTATCCTTTCGACTCAGCGAACTTCTTGGCTGCGGATACCTCACCACCCACACCAATGATGGTGCTGAGGAGTCCAGTGATGCAGTAGAAGATATTGTCGGCTTGACCCTCGTTTTGAACGCAGGTATTGATGGTGCTTGCCAGGCCAGCCCCGGTAAGAACGAGGTTGAAGGCATGCCATGCTAGACCGATGGCCCAAGGAGCCACCACGAGAGTAACGTCGTCCGTCGTTCTCACATCGGCGCCGGTGGCCACTGCCAATTCATGGATGTGCTCCGCCGTGCCATTGTGGTTCAGATAGAGACCCTTCCAGCTTTCCCGTGGGCCGGGGTCAAGGACACTCCAGTTGAAGCTCTCTGGAGTCCACTTATCCACAACAGCAACTGCGCAAGTTGCAAGGCCAAGGACAGCTAGGGGAGACAGAGGGGTCCCAAAAAGTCTGATTCGAACCATTCTGCCAAGGTTTATCGAGACTGCGATACACGAAGAGAAGTATGATTATTGCTTGTTGTTCTGATGCTTTCGGAAATTCCCTCGAGGAGGAGGCCCAATTTATGTCTTGAGCCTGGAATCGACTGCAACTCAATCTATCCCTCATAGCGCAGATTCCCATGTATCCATGCTCAGATGAACGCAGAAATGAGTCCTGCTCATGCAGCTTCGCAGCCCTCACGATGACCAACATGGGCTTTGCACAGATCACCAAATTTCTGATGTAACGCTTTGGGAAATAGTGCTTCCTTCGACAAGGAGAACTTTGGCCAGACGCCCTGTGACGAGAGCTCAGCAGCCAATGGTACCTTGAAGGTCTGCAATAGTCAATCCCAAGTGCCTTTGCAGTTCGGCAAGAGCATGCTAACCTGCCCTATCACGAACATTGCAGCAGTCCAGGTTACTTGGCATAGTTATTACTCCACATCAGCGACAGTTTTCAACCTGATATGATCCTTGCGAAGTAAGATTCGATTTGAGACATGGCCATACAGATGACAATCAGATTGTTGGGACGGGGCCATTGAGGCTAGAAGGAATGTCGAAAGTCTTCAATGTTCATTCCAACGAATGACGAAGACCGTCTTACTAGCGAAACCCGAATACTTACGGATAGATGGGCTGGATCATCCGTATTCGGATCGACGGCCAAGGCTCGTCTGAGGAGACCAAGGAACAAGTGTAGGAGTGGTGCATGTGTTGTCGATTGGTCAATTTGATATGCTGATGTATCTTGATCAGTCTTGACGAACCAGTGGATCCTTGTAAGCAGGACCTCCACCGAAGGATTGTATTAGAAATGCAGGGTCCTGGCAGTCGGAAGAGGGCATCCGCAATCCTCATGTCGGTATACCTTCTTTTACTGGCAATTACCTTGTTTGGCATAACACCTTGTGGGCTACACTCGGAGAGTGATGGTGTCCAGTCTAGATCATTTTTTGCTGCAGTCGCTGGCGTACATGCACGGAAACATGGGTCTCGAAGTGACAGCCTACAGATAAGATACAACACCAATGCGCACCAATGCCACAGCAATGTCCAAGAAATTCTCTTAATGTCATAAACTGGGAAAATAACTTGCCTTGCGTCGTTGCTTTCTCACCATGTGTTGATGGAGCTATGCTTCTGAAGGTATGCGCAAATTGACTGTTCCAATGCACGCTCCTCAGGTCCACTCTGCCCATATGATGAATCCTCAGGTGGGCCACAGGGCGTCAGCAATCAGATGGCCATGGTGCGGTTGTCGAAGTCTGTCAGTTTCACATGAGTTATTTTTCGGTTCTTACTACATCTTCTTAGCCGAGCAGCTAAGCCCTACCGACACAGTAAGACGATTCGCATGGGCGGCCGAGCCACTAAAACAAGTTTTGTGTAAGCAATGGACTCCACAGGATTTGGGGCTGTTTGATGGACTTCATTAGTGCTGAATCATACCACGAGAGGGCCGCGAAGTTGGAACTTCCTTATCCAGCTGAACCGAGCAGCTATGCGCAATGACACATTCCACCGCAGTGTCATTAGGTCAGAATGTGACCGGAACGCACTGATTGAACTAACGTTCATAGCTGAGATCAACAAACGAAAGAGGCAGCCATGGGCAACATTCACCATTCATGGTCTTTCTTGGGACAGCCTTATGAGGGGTCTGAGTCAGATATGGAGAGGATGTCATCATAGTACTTCAGTAAGCGCCCAGGGATCAGCTACGCGAACCGTGATAGGCGGATACTCATTGTGCCAGGGTCTCACTACTAATATCCTCGGCCTTGGTAGCGGAGCCTTGTGTCTCGAAGTCCAGTGACACCGTTCATATCCTACTCTCCTAATTCCTGGCCATAACGCAAGACACCATGGTTGTTAATCCGGAGAAGACCGCGGCTGGAGAGGCCTCCGAGGCCACACCTTTGCTACAAACGGCGGCACCGATAGTGTCTCCGCAGGCGTGTTATCAACATCAAATACTGCTCCGGTGTTTTTTGAACCTGAAAAACACAGTAACTAAAGCGACGGGTCTATTCAAGACAGAGTATAACTACGAAATCAAGTCCGAAGTGGACCCGATAGCTCGACAATCCATGGTGGAGGAGCGCCGATGGTCAATCTATATCTCACGGGCCGTCTATCGGTTTTCTGTTTGGTGGGCTCAGTTACCAGCAGATTCGGAGGTGTCATCCCGTGAAGCAAGTATAGTATCAGAGAAGCCGTGTGCACGCCACAGCGGATGGGCATGGACAGGGGACGAGTTACCTCCGTTAGGTAGGCACTTGCAAACTCATCATCGGAGAATGATGACTGACCGATTTGGACGGAATAGATGTTCTAATGGTATTCCATGCATTGACACTGCATCATAGATCCTTCGGAGAGGACTGCTTCCGACATAAAAAGATGGCACTATGGAACGAAGGGTTCCCCCTCCAGCTAGTCTCGCAATGTATCGATCCGGGTAGCCTCACATATTCATGTCCCGAGCCCTGCAAGCTGCGCTTTGAAAGCATGACAAAGCTGGCTTGGAACAATCTTGATGACGCCGAGGGTGTGCCTATCGAATGCCCGCGATGTCAGAACCGAACCGTTGTGCCGTGGTCGACGCGGCGCAGAAAAGGCCTCGCAGAGGAATTGTTGCAATACTGCCAATCGTGCAAATATGGTCTCGGAAACCACGTTCTTGTTGTCCGGAAGCTCCGTCAAGATTTACTTCTACTGCTGCGCAGAGATCTTCCATTGCCAGGGACCTGCTGGAGCGTGGAGGAAAAGCACGGCACTTTGACTCCTAAGAAGGCACCAAATGAGTTCGTCAAACGATACCTCATGAGCATGCTTCTCGAAGAGACGCGCCCAACGAATCTTTTCCCAAATATAAGCCAAACCATCGAATCCCTTGGCCGAACAGTGGTGAAGCCAGCTCTACCTATGATTCATGATATCTTTGAGCACTATCAATATGTGGAGAATTCTTCCTGTAATCTGCGTGCTGCTGTCACGAGGGTGTTGGAGTCGGCATCGGCAATGCAGGATACAAATCTGTCCGAAACTGATTTCGACACACCACACATGGTGACTCAGTACATTGCGTTCCTGCGAGGGCAAGGCAAGGGATTCTTATCGTGGGATCCTGATCTGTCCGAGATAGATTTGACGGATCCTACTATGTGGGTCTGGAGCACGCATTTGCTGACGCCACGTTCATACTCGGAATTCTTCCGGCGCGTGGGCAATGGTCTGCCCGTAGATTG